AAAGCCTTTATTTATTTATAAACAAAACCTTTATTTATGTCCATGCAAAACTCAAAAATCAACAAATTTGACGCATAAAATGTATAGATTTTTTTTTGCCATCGCCACTCATGAATGTTTGAGTGTACGTGCGTGAGGTTATCATAGAAATGTAAGTTACGACAGAAATGTACCATAGAAATGTAAGAAATATAGCTTGCTCTTTACTGTTGTTGCGATTCAAGTTAAACCACAGCACCACATATGCACATATAGTTGAAAAGTCCTTTTATTGTAAACCGAGTTTTTATTCATTTTGCTGTAGAAACTACAATATTAATGGAATTTTAATTGTATTTTCAATAGGAAATTGATTTGTAGTAACAGTTATATTTTGTACAAATTTGAAATATTGAAGAGAGACAGCCGGAGAGCCACAAATTTTTGGTCAAAGTGCCACATGTGGCTCCCGAGCCATAGGTTTCCTACCCCTGTTATAAAATAATCATGAACCGAGTTGGTTGTAACACGTTACTGTATTGTAATTACATTTGAGGAACGCAGTAATGTAACGAATTACATTGTAAATTTGTGTAATTTGATTATTAGAGTTGCTAAAGTCAATGTAATTGCGTTACTTGCATTACAAATACAGTTTTTTTTTTTTTTAAATGCTGCTTCGCGTTTTCCACTGCAAAGTCAGTTAATAAGCGAGCGCTTTTTAATTGCTGGAGAACACGAGCTTAAATGGTTGCTTCTTCAAGTGAAAGCGCAGACATTACTTTGATTTCATTGAGCGTAAAAGCAAATATACTGCTGTGAAATGCAGTCTAAAGAACTTTTGTTTGCTTTTAACTCGACCAGGGCGAGGCAGTGCCGCAATAGGTAGTGCTGTCGCCTCACAGCAAGAAGGTCGCTGGGTCGCTGGTTCGAATTGGGTAGGCTAAAATTGTCCGTAGTGTATGAGTGTGTGTGTGAATGTGTGTGTGGATGTTTCCCAGAGATGGGTTGCGGCTGGAAGGTCATCCGCTGCGTAAAAAACTTGCTGGATAAGTTGGCGGTTCATTCCGCTGTGGCGACCCCGGATTAATAAAGGGACTAAGCCGACAAGAAGAAAACGAAACTCGACCAGCAACTTGTTCAGCACTAGAAAAGAAAGCATTCTATGATAATACTCGTCACCAAAAACATGGCAGCCCAACAGCCTAAAAAGGCTAATTGAATTTTTGTGCAGGATCGGGAATGAAGTTATCTTCTGAGTGTTAAGAGAAGCATAGGTGCTTATGGGGCCATACGCATATCGCGTATTTTGAGCGCACATATTGGGAGCTCATAATGCGCCCGGTCGCATTTCCCTGGCTCACCCAGTTAAAAACCACAAGTCACGTGACAAGAACTGACCGATCAGCTTTATACTTTGGAATATACACATATGGGTATAATGATTACCTCAGACAAACCCAGAACACCCAAACACTGCAGTGCTTTTGCATACACTGGATGTCAATAGTTACAGGTATCAGTTTACTTCTGAATGTTTTCTTTTTGGTAAATAAAAGAAATTAAAAAAAAAGACGGTCCCACTTTATATTAAGCGGCCTTAACTAATATGTATTTACACAGGATTTAATAGTTTGTTACAATGTACTTATTGTGTAAATACATGTATTTACTGTGTACTTATGCTTGATTAAATACATGTATGTAATTACATCTGTATTTAACTTTTGTAATTACGTTTGTAAATACATTGTTGAACATCCCTTACACCTTAACCCACCCTTAAACCTACCCATACCACCAAACCTGTCCATAACCCAACCTCTATCCCAACTCAAAACCACCCCAATTGTTCTCCAATACATTATAAACACAGTAAGTACATTGTATTTGTTTTTTTTTATTTAAGTACATAGTAGTTAAGGACACTTAATATAAAGTGGGACCAAAAAGACAAACAGAATTGGAAAATAGTAAATGATGAGAACATTTTAAGCTTTGGGTGAACTCTTAAGTCTTTTGAATATGTCAATATGCGTTGATCAACCCATTGTATTGTTTTTCAATAAATATTAAATTACTAAAAGAGATGCAGTTTATAATCTGATAGCAGTAGTAGTAATCAGTAGTTTGTAATCTATTACTTTTTTAAAATAACTCACCCAACACTGATTATGAATATTTTCATTGGCTTGTTAAGTCAAGGTCTTCTCAACAAAGAGCATTCTTATAAGATTATTTAAGTGTGGCTGTAGATGAAACTTGCTAGCGTTTAAGGACATCTGCATTGAACATGAAAGATAAACTTTCATACTTTTATAGTCATAAGATATCAAATACAAGCAAAAAGGCCTAATTTTTAATTATCTGCAAAAGAATCTAAATCTTTCAGAGGACAAAAACAAATGTAATATAGAGGGAAAAATAGGCTTGGAGTAGGTCATAAATCTTGTTGCAACGTCCTAAAATTGGATGTTTTATGAATTATTCAAGAATAGAACCAATGTCAGGTTATCAAGTGGTAATTAAATGGATAGTCACAACAGCAATTTTTACTTTTTTGTTGAAGTGGGTGGGCGGGCGGATGCATTGTGCTGGCATGAAGGGCTTTTGCTGACGCAGCTTGTGTACTTTTTATAGAGACGTACACAGCTCCTTGAAAAGGTCTTTTGACTAGAATCAAAGGTCAATGACTAATCTCGTGAGTCGTGACCATGAGCTGTCGAAGATGGTGCAACCTTACTCACTTAACTGTCTTGTTACAAAATCCACTTCATATATTTGCAGTAATATAAAAAAATATTGAACGTCCTGAACATTACCTGACACTTTGTGCACATTTAATCACTTGCATGAGTAAGTGGTTTTAAAGCAGATTAGTATGTCCATATTAAATATTACAAACAGAATAGCTCAATAGGTGACACGGTGGCCTCACAGCAAGAAGGTCACTGGTTCGAGTCCCAGCTGGGTCAGTTGGCATTTCTGTATAGACTCTGCATGTTCTCCCCGTGTTCGCCTGTGTTTCTTGCGGGTGCTCAGGTTTCCCTTACATTCCAGAGAAATGTGTCATAGGTGAATTGAATAAACTAAACTGGCCGTAGTGTATGGGTGTGAATGAGAGTGTATGGGTGTTTCCCAGTAGAGGGGTTGCATCTGGAAGTGCATCCTCTGTGTAAAACCTATGCTGGATAAGTTGGTGGTTAATTCCTCTGTGGCGACCCCAGATTAATAAAGGGACTAAGCCAAAGGAAAATGAATGAATGATGAATAGTCCAATAATAATCTATAAGTACAGCATGTGACTCATAATAACAGGCCCATAGCCAGGGAGTTCGAAAGTGGTTCGAAAAACACTTTATAAATATAATATTAATTTTTAATTTCAAATTGTATTACCATTACATTATTTATAAAACTGTAATAATTGAATGCACATTTGTAAATAAACACAAATGTTTCAATCATTCATTCTTTTTCTTTTCGGAATAGTCCCCTTATTAATCTGTAGTTGGCGAATAAACCGCCAATTTATCCAGCATATGTTTTACGCAGCAGATATCCTTCTGCAGCCCAACACTGGGAAAAGCTTATACACACTCCTTAAAACACATACACTATGGCCAATTTAGCTTATTCAATACACCTATAATGCATGTCTTTGGACTGGAGGGGAAACTGGAGCACCCGGAGGAAACCCACGCCAACACGGGGAAAAAAAGACCATCCATTTTAATAAGCTGGCTACAGGCCTGAAAAACCTGAGCTTTTTGTAACACACACACAAAAACACACACAATGTTTTATTTATTCTTTTTTGAAAATGTTTGGGCTGGTATGGGGCAGTTTATGTGACAGAATATGCAGTTTGTACAATACAAAAAAACATTATTTATGGAAATAATAACATGAAACCCAAAATGTGTGGGGGAATTCTAAAAAAAATCTGAATGATGATTATTTGACTCTCTAAAAAATGCAGAGCTTTCTGTGGAGGCTAGGTTTAGTGCAGAAAGAGTATTGCTAGAGTGCAAAATCAATACAAGTCTATATCTCAACTCCCCACGAAGATTGCTGTACAAACATGTGTGTGAGAGAGTGAACATTTTTAATGTCAACATAGGATGGCTTGTATGAGGGCAATCAATTCAAGTTAAAAGGTGTTGATATCTCCAATGGATATCAATGATTTTACGTCAATTTGTTTGCATAATGTAAGCCTATTTCCTAATGGGATGAGATGACAATGCAAAGCAATATAAGTGGTTTTATTTGTTATAATGGGAATTTTATTAGTTTGAATGGAAATCAATGGTCCCTGTGGGCCTCTTTTGGTTATGCTTAAAACCACTAAATCTGGAAATGCTCCTGGAATCCTTCTCAAAACTAGAAATCACTAAAATGTGCTGTTTTCATGATTGGTTTGTACTGTTTGAAATGTCGGCCTATTTGTATTAGATATGACTATTGAAATCTCAACTGGTTTTATTTTGTTTGCTATATCTATCATTGTATCATCTGGGATATTAGAAAGCAGTTAGCACCAGTACTGCTAGCTTTCTAATTGGGCAAATTTGGCAGAGACAAATTGCCATGTAGGCTGCAGACCTGAGCAAGACAGATTGCAAAAGAGTGTTCACACCTATAACCCTGTTAGAGCTGATAATAATGGCTGGATTATGCAGGTATTGGATTTTATTTTATGTTAAGTCCAGCAGATGGGCAAACACCCAGTCATTAAAATGAATATTAGACTTTTGGGGTGTCTGTGTTTGGGGTTTAATAGGATTTAAAATCTAATATTGTGGGCATTTTAATGAGCAGATGCCAGCCTACGACTACAAGTAGGCTTCGCTTCATTCCCAGTGCGTGGATGGATTTCATTTGCTCAAAGCCCCTTTACGCGTTGTTACTAGGTAACGGTCTCTGAGCGGGAATTGTAGTCTTTAAATACCTAGTCAATCGCTTCAGCGCGAAATGTTTTGAAAGCTACAAACTACAATACCCACGATGCAAAGCGCATAGGCATGTGAACGCCGTATGATTCCAGTAGCGCTTCCTGGATAGCGCTGCAGATGCTCTACAAAACGGTTTATTTAGGTTTTTATAACTAATTTGCTTCTGTTGCCACAATTAAAATGCAGCTTATAATTTTGGTTTCGTTGTTCGCTGTCGGTGCAATGGCGGGAAAGTACTCAAAAGAAATGAATGAAAAAAATGCGTCTGATAAAAGCAACAACCAGGTGGAATTTAGGATTGCCAAACTAAATCAGGTTTGGGAAAAGGCGATAAGGGTAAGAGATTTGACAGATTCACTGCTGATTAATCTGTCTATTACAAGTAGTTAAACAGACTATAAAATGGTTTTAGAAAGTTGTCAGTTATAAAGATTGTAAAATTATAATTGTGTTTATATCTTAACTTGCAGTTAACGTAAAGCAAGCTAGGGTATCTTTAGTTTTACCGTATTTATTAACGTTACCGTTTGTGTGACCACAGTTTTCAAATATAATGGGGAAAGTTTATTAGCGTAACAAAAGCATGGCGAATGTGTAAATATTATGGCCTAACTACAAAAAAAATGACTTTTAAATTCATTTTCGAGTAAAATTCTGGTTAATTTTTAATAATATTTTATTTCTGCTCCGATAAAGTGACGCTTTCTTTGAGCATTATTATTTTCTGTGACTGATTGTCAATGACTTCTTGTGCTTTAGATGCAGCTTGCACCGGTCCGTCTGTCAGAACTACACAGTGACTTGAAAATCCAAGAAAAAGATGAACTTCAATGGAAAAAACTCAAAGCAGAAGGGATGGACGAAGATGGAGAGAGAGAAGCCAAGCTCAGGCGAAATTTTAATAGTAGGATTTTTTTTTTTTGTTTAAATAGTTATAGTGACATTTATAAACCAGTGTAAAGGCCTAACAAAAGAGAAGATTTTGCAATTGAGGTAAAATTGGTTTTATATACATACAATCGTTCAATGACAACTTGTGACACGCTCCCTATATTGTTTACCATGGTACTTTGAATATTCGGTCTGAAATCGCAAATATCAAAACAATATTAGCGCTATTTATTTGACTGTGAACAACATTGTACTTTGATAGTCTTTGGCTGCTAATAAGATTTCCCTATTTAGAATTTGCAAATAATAGTTTTCTAAAAATATAATATTAAGGAGAAAGTTTAAATGTGTGAATATAAAACCAACTTTACCTCTATACATTTGCAAATGTATTGGGTTGCTAATTTAAAGTGTAATACGTTTTGTAACACTTTCAGTTAATTATTTTCAGATACTGCCAAATTCTTGTAGCATAATGTATCAATGTTTACATTTGATTACATTTCTATAATTTATAACTGTTCATAACTGTCAGATATTCAAACCCTTACATTTCTAGAATTATAACAATTTAATTTTAGGTCCTCATTTTGCTTTGGAGATTGGTTTGAGGAAAAATAAAGATCTAAAATTATAGCTTAAAATAGTTTGACAAGTTGTTTTTAAAAATCAAATGTTTGCGTACCTGTGACAGGAAACAATGGCATCTGATAATGCCTTGGGGAAAAGAATCCCAAGATTATTCAACAAAATAGATCATCAGAATTGCACTTCTTACTAAACGGGCATTAAGGTCGTACTCATGATTGTACCTGCCCATCCCTGCCTTCCCCTAATGGCCTGCACTCACACTGTGTTTTGCCTTCTGAACCTGAGCACGCTTACATCATCGATAATGCAACTGTTAAGTTTAACAGGAAGAGAAGTTTGGGATGCAGTGACACACAGTCAAATATTTTGTCGTACAGATGGGCACGGTTCGGATAGCATAGTGTAAGTGCACCCTAAATGACAGGAGGCATTGTGCACACCAAAAAGTACCAAACTAACAAATAAATGTTATTAAGAATATCCAAACTTTTTGCAAAAAAACTAAACAAAAAATAATATGTTCAGATATGTCCACTTTAAATTCTATAACATTTTTAGAACTTCTTTAGTTACACATCCCCCCATTAATTGTAACAGATTACAGTCATGTTAATTTTGGGATGAAATTTGGTTACACTTTGATTTAATGTGTCCTTGTTACAGTGTAACTGTTCATTAAACTACAGAGTAATATTAGTAAATTATATGTACTTACTATATGTTAAGGGTTAGAATGCAGGTTAGGTTTAGTTTTAGTTGCATGCATAATTAATTGTAATTGTTATAGTAAGTAAATTGAACGTGTAACAAGGACACCTTAAAAGTCTTACTTAAAGTTATGTAACACATATTACATGTAACTAGTTCTCATCACCATTGGCGATAATATACTTATTGAATATTTACCATGCATCCTAACTTGTTTGCACAGTTATTCTTGCAAAGTATGGAATGGATGGGAAAAAAGACACCCGAACATTGGACAGCAACAGACTGAAAGATCATGAAGTTAAAGTTGGAGACACATTTGATGACCCAAAGTTGGACAAGCTGTGGAATAAGGTAACTTATGTGACTAAATGATCACTAGGGTGAATGAATGTTTAACTCATTTGCGAACTTGTTCACTCATTAAAAAAAACCTCTCATCAACCTTTGATCGCCAGGCCAGAACTTCTGGAAAATTCTCTGATGAGGAACTCCAGACCTTACATAGAGAATTCCAGCATCACAAAGACAAGATCCATGAGTATAACATTGTCATGGACACTGTCAGCCGGACTGAAGGTAAGCATTTGGATTGTGTTCACAAAGGCATGTCATAGCATAGATCACTAGTGGTGTTCAGTTCTAAGAATATCCAAAATGAATGATCACCCAACTTGATTTTTAATGTGTAATCCCACTTTTTTTTAAGCAAATTAACGGATTCTGATATTTTTAACTGGATACAATAAGCAAATGAGTATACCATAGGCTGAACTGTCTGTAGGGATTTAAAATTAGAAGCACCCTCATTTAAATCATGGTCCAAAGAAGCTTCATACATTAGCTAGAGCAGTTCATTCATTCATTTTTCTTCGGTGTAGTCCCTTTATTCATCAGGGGTTGCCACAGTGGAATAAATTTGCCAACTTATCCAGCATATGTTTTACACAGCGAATGCCCTTCCATCTGCTACCTAGTTCTGGAAAACACCCATACACTCTCACATTATTTAGCTTATTTAGTTTATTCAATTCCCCTGTAGCGCATGTCTTTGGACTGTGGGGGAAACCGGAGCATGCGGAGACACCTAACGTGAACACTGAGAGAACATGCAAACTCCACACAGAAATGCCAACTGACCCAGCCGGGACTTGAACCAGCAACCTTCTTGCTGTGAGACGACATTGCTAACCACTGAACCACCATGCCACCCAGCTAGAGCAGTTATTGGTGTAAATTTATAGTGTATCATTTCAAAATATCTAAAATATGAAAAACTAAAAAATGTGTCTTAAGTTTTGTGAAATTGGACTACAAAAATCGAGAACTGAATAAAAATAATAATACACCAGTAATAAAGGGTTTGCCCAGTAACCGTGGTAACACGATCCCACCTGTCAACTGACCCTTACTGGTTTAAAAATAAAGTACTGTCTCTTGGTCTCGTGAAGTGCTTCGAAATGTGCATTTTTAATTTATTTTATGTTTTCAATTTGACGTAATCTCAACTGAAACATTAAGGCTGGACATATAGTAGCTCTTCCCCTTTATAAAAAAAAACTGCCAATAGCCTTTCGTTTTTATCACAGCTTTGCTAGTGAGAGTGGTTAAGCTCAAGCAAAATCAAATGAAAAGTAATTGAGAAGCAAGATGAAGGGGCGGGACAAGATCCTAGAGAGCATTTTTGATAGGTCAGAAATTTGGTGAGAAATTGAAGTTTAAAAAATAATCCATTTAGGCAGAAGTGACAAATTGCAAGCTTTGGATATTTATATCAGCTTTATATCTTCTAAATGAGGATTTTGCCATTGTTTTGTAACAAAAAAACTAACATACTGATACCAACATCTAAAAAATATTTAAATGTCATTAGAATTTTAATAACCTTCTGTAGGTGGTGGATAATAAGTTCTAATTATTTGATTTAATATAGTAATAATCAAAATGTCCTAGTCCACTTGAACATTACAGAAAAGCCTATGAGAAACAGAAGGTTGAACATGCTTTGAATAAATGAACACTTTACTGACACATACAAGTGGTTCATTTAGTCAGCTGCTGTTTTCTAACTAATTTACAGAGATTCTGCTTTAATGGGCAAAAAAATTGTACTTTTGATGTATAGTTTTAATATCATGCCCATTCCTATTATTAATCTACTAGGATGCATTTAAATTTGAACCTCCTGGGCAGATTTTAATAGTCTTGTCTTTGAATTTCAGAAGCCAGTGAGTAAACTGGTCTTGCTCTGTTCTTTCCATCAGAGATCCATAAGAACGTGATCAGTCCTCTGGAGGGGGATGTGAAGGAGAACGTTCTTCATCAGAAACACACAGATCTGAAGCAGAGAATGAGGGATCTAAACCAGGGCTTTGAGCGTCTCCGCAAGATCACCCACGAGGGCTACACTGATGACAGCGGTGGGCAACATTGTTGATACTTAATCAGTGTTTTAGAAATGATTTCCTAACACTCTCTGTCTCTCTCATATGTTTGCCTGTTGCAGAATTTAGGGAGCCACGAGTCATTGAGCTGTGGGAGATGGCAAAAAGATCCAACCTCAGCGAAGATGAACTTGATTCTCTTAAAGTAAGTTTTTTTTTTAGTCTAAATGACTTTGTTCATGTTATTGCCAAACATAAAAGGTTTGAATCTTTAGTAATATTAATACAATTAAAGCTGAATACAATTCAGAGGATGACCATTAGATTGCGGTGCATCTTTTAGTGCAATTGAATTGAATTTTTATTTGACAGATTTTAGACAAACTGTACAAAAATACAAGTATCCCATACATTTTGAAATAAAACCGTCAAGAATAAAAACACAATAAAGCCCTGGGCTTGTTTCATTGTGGTCCTCGCTGTTAAAAACAAAGTATCACTGCAAAAACAGTTAATGCATAAAACAAACAGTACCTCCACATTTTAAAACAGCAACAAAATTATTCACAATACAATTACATATTAAAAACATCATTATCCATCAAGCAAACTGACTATCCTCATCAAACAACCATATTTTAATCATTCCTTTAAACCTTCCTAAGTCTTTAATTGCCTTGATTGATTTTGGTAACTTGTTCCACATGATTGCACTTGTATATAAGAACAAATTTTCCCCCACTGCACTTCTAAATTTAAATAAACAAATGAAGAGTTCAGATGCAAAACCCTCTAAATCTATCAGACCTCTTTTTTGTAAATGAGCATTTTCTACCAGGCTTCACTGATTAGGTTCAGAAGTTATATTTTATATGTAATGATAAGGCTCTTAGATAGTAAATAAAATACCTTTTTCCAAAAATGTCACTTTAGACATTTCTTTGGTTTTTAACAAAGTAAATTTTCTTTTGCGTCAAAACCAGCTAAATCCACTGGTGCTTTTTTTTGTTGCAAAAACCTCCAAAAACTTATTGAGACAAGACAGTGTAACTAGTTGAAAATCACTAAAGATGCAATTATAAATTATTTTACCAAACATAAAACGCCTAAAATTAAAAAAAAAAAGTTTTGAAGTAAGGGACGTTTTCATTTGCCATTCACTTATCCAGTTCATTAAACTCTGTTTTTTTTTTAAATCAAAATCGGAATAAAACAGTCTCCTCATAAAAGCCGGTGTATCAGCGCGCTGATACATTGAAAACGTATGATTTGATTCGCGCCTTCTGATTGGTTCTCAGGATATAGTGGCTTTTGCTGTCAAAGGCAAGTGGCATTTAGCGACTTTTGCCAACTTAACTTTTATTTCTGAATGCGCTGACACTGGGATTGGAATGATTAAAAACAAATCTATTTGTTGATGTATGTGCCTAAAGCATTCACTCAATGTCACTAGCTCATTTTTGACGGAGGTGGCATTTAACGGCTTTTGAACTCTTTAGATAATAAAATCCCAACCCCTAGTACTATATGAATGCTGTTGCCTGACCATTTGATAATAGTTTACCAAATAACCAGGAACCACATTGTTAAACATTTGATGTATCATTCTCAGTTTTAAACAACACGTCTTAACAGTTAACATGCCTAATTCTTTAAAATACTCTTTGTGCAAATGTGCTCCAGGATGACTTTTTAAAATGATTCGTAGTAATTTATTTTGTGACTTTTACAATTTTTCCTTAATACTCTGTGAGCAGCTACTGTGCCAAAATGACGTAGTATAATTAAAATGGGCTTGAATCAAAGCTCCTGCCAATAATTTCTAAAGAATGAACATCCAACAGATCAGCTTGCCTAATTTTTTTTACATATCTTCATAAAAACCTTTCTTGCCATAACATCTCCTGATAATTTATTATCTGTTAAACATTTAAAAAAATTTACAACATTTTTGACTCGATTATCAAACCATTAAACTTTAGCACAAAAGAATCATCTTCCTTTAATTTCACTCTTGAAGTAAATATAATAGCTTCTGTTTTACTTTTATTAATAATAATTACTATATTTAATACCAAACTGGAGTTATTTGTTAATCTTACTCATTGTTATTAGAAATAACAACAAATAAGATGTTGTACCAACTGAGTAACAAATGCAAAAACAATGAAACATTATTTTAAAGAAGCTTTTGAATACGAATACAGAAAACTAATAATCAAAGGTGAAAAAAAAAAACATAAATTGCAGGTATTAATTAGAAGTATAACAACACTGCATGTGCAAAATGTAAGAAAAAGCATGCAAAAGTTGCCTAGTCTATACTCTGGGCTTTTCAAATACCTAATTTTCTGTTATTGCTTTAATATTAGAGATCAACAAAAAGATTAATGCATAATGATAGTACATTTAAAACAATCTATTGATTTTATGCATGAACGCAGAATTGTTCACGTTTGCACTGTGAAGCTTGGCAAAAACAATTGCACAGCTTTACTAAACACTGAAGTTCAATTTAATGGTCTAGAGCATATTTTGAAAACACCAGATGAAATATGATTGAACCTAGTCTTGTTCTTTCTCCCTTCTCTCATTTAGGAGGAACTCCGACACTTTGAAACAAAGGTGGAGAAGCACCAGCACTATCAGGAGCAGCTGGAACTGTCTCATCAGAAACTGAAGCATGTGGAGGCTCTGGGAGATGAGGATCACATTATGAGAAACAAAGAGAAATACAACACTCTGGCTGAGAAAGCACGGGAGATGGGATACAAGGTACAGCAGCAAAATTGAGTTTTACAATAACATTTCTGCTTTATTATTATTGATGCTGAGACACCGCAGGACAATAAAACTATCCACCTGTGTATTCTGAGATTTTTCATCAAAGATTTTTTGTTCTAATGTAAAGAATACATCGCAAATGAAATTGTAAGTGTTACTGTCACACTTTATTAATATGTATTGTAACTGGAATTTACAGATTTTCTCAAAATGAGTTTTTTTTTCTCCAGCGTTGAGCCATAAATCTTCATTTCATCAGCACTCTCACACATTAGACTTTACAGTCTGTACTCTGTAGGATTTTACAGAGGGATTAGTACTGGTATAATTTAATTGGTTAAATAATCAGAAGTTGTGAGAATTATTAGTAACACTTTACTTGAACAGGGTGTTCATAAGACTGTAATTAAACCATTATTGGTCCCACTTTACAATAAGGTTTCATTAGTTAATGTATTTGTTAACATAAACTAATTATGAACTTTATTCAACATTTACATCAACAAATCCAACATTTACTAATGCAACCTTATTGTAAAGTGTTACCCTATTAATAATTATGACATCACATCTTCATGAATATGAAGGGGATTTTATGCATGCTTGTCCTTATTGTCATTCGCTCATGTCATTTTAAATGCAAAGGTGACTTTGTTTAAGATGTCTTTATGACAACTTGACATTACCAAGACTGCGTAAGCTGTCATAAACATGATTGTCATTAGGATATTATAATTGTGTCAGAATTCAATTTGTACCATTGTAATTGAGGTCAAGAAAAATAATAATGACATTGTTATGAATTTCATGACACAATTATAATGGCCTCATGACATGTTTCGTTGTCTTAGTAGTTTTAAGTTGTCGTGACGATAACAAATTAAAAAATGTCACATTTGCATTTAAAATGATTTAATTGAGCTAATGCCACTTAATGACAGTTGTCATAAGCTTGCATAAAATCTCATTCATATTCATAATGTAATTTATGTCATGAAATGATTATACAAGTTTTATGACAGTCTTATGAACACCCCATTCGAGTAAAGTGTTACCTATTAATTTGTTCGTCTGGCTGTTCGCATTATTTCCTGAATTATGGAGTGATAAAAGATTCACAAAATCCTCTCTAAAAACCAAAATGAGATGAGAATCATGAATCTCATTTGATCCAGTGTTCAGATTTTTGAGCTAGAATTATTTAATGCAGTTTAAAAAGGGATAGTTTACACAACATTTTGGCACCCTTGTTCTAAGCCTGCCTGAAAGAAATGAACAGCCGTTGACTTCCATCGTGCTTTTTGTTGCTGCTACGGATGTCAGCGGCTGCCTTTTCCCCCTAAACATCTTCAGAATATCTTGTTTTGTGTTGAACAGAAGACATTCCTAAACTTTTAGAAACGCTTAATTTTGAGTAAACTATCTGTCACTAAACTGTGAGTTTGAACTATCCCCTTAATGAAATAATAGCTAAAGACCTTAAAAATAACAATAAAATTAATTCCTAAAGCTTAATCAACTGCGCAAGCATAACTACTTTTATTTGTACTGTATTCACGTTAAGTGTCCTGACTTATTCATCAAGAAAATAGTTGTGTATTGTTATAAAATGAATTCTGTCACACTTTTTTGTCTTTTAGATGAAGAAGCACTTGCAGGATTTAACGAACAAGCTTTCCAAAAATGGATTACAACACAATGAACTCTGAGCACTCTTTTCCTCAGCATGGCAGCACTACAGTTAGTTATGATCACATATGGAGTGTTATTCCACACTGATTGGCTGGGGTTATGAAGGTAAGGTGCACAGCATTTCCACTGGAAAGTCAAACCAATTATTAAATAATGAGATTTTTTTTTATGGTACGGAGCAGTGAACAGTTCTGTGCATTCTGTTCATTATCCATGTTCTATTTGTTGTGGCCAAATTTGTATGAATTTCATGATACTTGCTAAAAAATGAACTGAAACACGTGTAGCTTCCCACAAACATGTGGGTGCAATAGAACTTCACAACAAAACCACACAAGAAGGCTCGCAAAGTTTTCAATGTAAACTTTTAAGCTTCCATTTGAGCAATCTCCTAAAGCTGAGCATCTTAACATTTAAAGAAAGGCTCAATTGAACTCTGCCATGAAAAATGGTGCCATCCCAATGCAGGTTTGATGTTATATCCAGATAACCTCTGTTACGAGCTAAACCTGGCAGATTGAGGACAATAGATGTGCTTTAATGGAAAAAGCTGCAGTGAAATGGAGAACCAGAAGCTAAGGCCAGGCACAAAAGTAAAGCAGGTCTTGAATCAGCCGTTATATTTACCAAACAGCATTGAGTGCAGATATTATCAACATGATTGACAGCTTTGTCCAGAGTTAGACTTGAATCATCCTGACTGTTAGATATTTAAAGATTTGTTACAAAAATTCAAACTACAAACTGATTCTATTCTATGACAATGTAAGTACTCAATCGACAGAATTTTATGATTTTGTGTAGAACACATGCTATAATCCAGTATTGTAATTCATGATCAGGAATGTGTTGTCTGTTAATAATAGGATCTCTTTTGTATAAGTCTATGTTCTGCTCATGTCATGTCAGTCGCACATTTCATAATAAAACAAACTAACCATTTTTTCAAGGTTTTACTCTAATGGTTGTGATCTTGTTTCAAGAATTTGAAGGATGAACCATGTTAGCCACTGTTGTATCATTTTAATCAATACTGCAATTACCAATATAGAAATGTCAGAAAATAATATCTGGAAAATATACAGCGTGTTTCTAATGTGTAAATGTACAGAGCATATTGGTCACCAAAGGAAGTAGATATATTTACAGTTGTTGCATTTGAGATCTGTTATCAGATTTTCTAGATTTTTCTAACATGCAAATACAAAAAAAAAATACATTCATCTACAATATTCCACATTAAATACAATGCAGAAACATTTTATAGTGTGCAGCAATGGCTCTTCAAGCTGAATTCAAATAGAGAACAAAAACACAACTGAGACAGAAGGTGAAATGGCCCTACTAATAAATGTGTTGGACACAACTTTTGTTAACACTTGACTAGGGCTGGGCCAATAAACGATATTATATTGAATCACGATAATCTATGTTAATAACAATGATAAGCTCTGGACTCTGTATTGATCTAAGAGCAGACAGCAGAACAGCAGAAATGTGCAGCAATAGGAATCTAAAAGTGTGTTGATATTAGAGATGCACTGAATTTTCGGCTACCAAAAATATATTGGCCGAAAATATGTTATGCCATTTAATAGACCCTCTAATTTGTGGCTTTAGTCATTGTTGGGGTACTCTTTTTAAATCTAGAAGCATGAACGACTTCTATCGAAATATTTATCATTATCGTTCAATATGAATTATCAAGATAGCATTTTTGCCATACAGTTGAAGTCAGAATTATTAGCCTCCCTTAATTTTTTTCCTTTTTTAAAAATATTTCCCAAATATTGTTTAACAGAGCAAGGAAATTTTCACAGTATGTCTGATAATTTTTTTATTTAATTTTATTTTATTAAAGCCGTGTTTTATTACGGCTTTATTTCGGCTAGAATAAAAGCAGATTTAAATTTTTATGAACCATTTTAAGGTCAAAATTAATAGCCCTTTAAAGCTATTTTTCCCCCCCGACTAAAGTGTCACAGTCATATCACCCTGCAGCCCAAGACTGGTTACTCACTGAAGACCACATATATATATATAGTGAACCATAAAGAGATCACTTATAAAAGCGATTATATTTTGCATTTAACTTACATATTTTAGCATCACAATGAGTAAAAACATTTAAGAAAAAATGCCTGAAGAATGAATTTCTTATAAAATAACTGTTTTCTGTAGATCAGGGTTTGAAAATGTGTTTAAAAGCTGATGATCTGTTTCATGGAAGTTTGAGAGAAAAAAAATTAAATCTGCAAACAATTTTGACAGAATTTAAAAAAAAGACATCAAGAATATTTTTAAATGTAAAAAAATGAAAAGTGGTGCCACATTTCCAGGTACATGGCTGCAGGTTAAATATTCTATACTAGATCTATGCTTTTATCTTTTTAAAGTTTATTTATTATTAAAATCCAAATGTCAAAAGAAGAAATTAAAAGAATCATCTCCCCCCTTAAATCTCTACAGTAAAAAATACAAATATTTCTGGGCTTGAATGGAGAGAAAAATCCTCATCATATTAAAATACTTTGTGTGTTTATGTGAGTGTTCCTCTCCTCTTGTGCTCTAGTTCCAGCAGTCTGTCCTCTCTGCCCTGTGCATGCTGGGCACCAACCCTCTGTGCCGTCTCTGTCGCAGTGATGTCAATGTGGGCATATTTAGTGCTGGAGCCAGCCGCTGGTCACAAACACACACAAACATGGATTTAGTACAGCAGTGTGCAAGCTTTAGTTTGTATTCTACCACATTAAGTTCACAGGAGTGTCATTTGTTTTCTCGCTCAAAGCAGACTGAACTATAGATACTCTTAACACTAATGTTCAAACACTTGGAGTAGTTTTTTATTTATATTTTTATGAAAATGACTAGATTAACAAGGATGGTTCCTAAAATGACATGCTGTTGCTTTGAACTTCATATTCAAAGAATTGAGGGGGAAAATTATCATGGTATTAACAAAGAGATTAAGCAGCTGTTTTCAACATTAATTTAAAAAAAAAAGTTTGAACACCAAATCAACACAAGGTTATGATGGTATGTTAAACTATAGGTGGGCATAGATAATTTCTTTTTTATTCTAGATTAATCTTACTGTAAACTTGAAATTAATCTAGTTAAAAATCGCTCATTTGAATGCTAACGAGGTTTTGGACCATATGGGGCATAGCATGTGTATTTTTTGACCACACTATTTGTTTGCTAGAAATGAAAACTGAATTTAGATATAAACAAATATTTGCGCCTAACAAACTTAATTATTTATTTATGTAGGCTAATGGATGTCTGTGCGTACAACACTATTTCCTTATTCACCTAAGAGAGAAACAGAAAGTGAAAGTAAATACAGATTGGAGGAGGCTCATTCTTTATCCTTGCGCTGCAGATGCTCTGTTTAACTGTATTCTTGCTAATGAAGCCTTCAGTTTTTCCACTTACAAAGTCTGCCATGTAAATAGCGAATGCGTCATAACATGAAACAACTGACTCTTAAAGGGAATGGGAGACTCTGATTGGTTTATTTTCAAAACACACCCATATCTCATTAAGAGAATAAGCTCAACCCTATTACACTATCCTTAAAATAGCAAAAGTGGATTCTAACACACCCTTAATGCTTTGCTTGATCGTTAAAATAGAGCCCTATAGGGGCAGTTTGTAAGTTTGAAACCCAGTGATTGACGACACCAACAAAGGTTGATTTAAACCATTTTCTAACTAAAAGCGATGGTACTTGATGAAAGTAATACTTCTTTCCATATTAAAAGGAGTTTTTGTCCTAACCAACACCTAAAACGTAGGTTTTATATTCTAAAAGTGGCTTCTGTTACTTGCAGCTGAACAACAAAAAACTATGACAATGATCACCTCAGGTACACCTCGTGCTTTATTCAGTGTTAAATGCTAATGTTAGTTTAAATGCCATTTTACATGACATTTATTGCCTTATACTGAAAGCAGCAGCAGACAGTTCACCTCAGATCTTGAAAATAAAATAAACCATTTGAAGTTGAAGTTTAGAACTGTGACTCACGTAAACCAACACATATCAGTGATTCAGCGTCTACATTTAATAATGTTAATTAGAGAAACCTTACCATTTAGTTAGAGTGCAGTAAGTGCACTATTCTGTGATTCTCAATGGCTGCATTTAAAAGTCTTTTGTGTTGGGTCTGGTGCACAGCACAGTTGCTGAAAACTGTGTATCTTGTCACAGAGATTTTCAAAGCAGAATATCTGACTTTATCATTGTTTTTCAGATAAACAAGTTTGTTCACTTAGCTTCCTAAATATCTGCAAAAATATTATGGTTTTTATACTTTAGAAGAGTCAATCTTGCATACAGCACCTTTAAAAAATAAAAAGAAACACTTTACATTACAGGACATATAATTAATGTCAGTGTATTTACTAATATAATCTAATGAACAATGCTTGTATAGCATTTATCAATCGTAGTTTATTCACTAATGCATTTTTCAATCCAACACTGCTTGCTAATATTAACATGGACAACTGTATTTTAATTAACAAACATGAACAGTGAACGACATTTTAATTAAGATTTATTCATGTTAGTAAATACATTAACTATGTGTTTCTTATTGTAATGTTACCAACAATATTTATTTGTATTGAATGACCTGTATACTTTTATAAATAAAATAACATTTTATTATATATTTTAGTTTTAGTTGATGTAAAATGTTAAAAAAGTAAAAATACAATCACTTTTGTAGGATCATGTGACACTGAAGACTAGACTAATGGATGAATGACAGCGTATATTTAAAGGTAATTCTTCAACAAAGAGTATACGTTTACAGCCAAATCATGATAATACTATGAGAGGAATCCTGTGTACCTCTGATAGTGTGGCTTGATTCAGGACGGTCCTGCAGATCCAGCTCCATATAGTGCAGCTGTCGTTTAGATGTAGGACTGATGGGGATGTTGACATAGTTTACAGAATCACCTTGAGCTCTGTCAGTGACTGTCAGTCCGGTCTCTCCTGTAAGACCACAGCAGAAACCAGATTCATACACGGATAGTAACAAAATGCTATGATCCGATGGAGAGATATATGAAATGAGGGCATGTGAATTACCATACTCTCCGGCTCTGAACTGTGTCCACCTGGACAAATCACTCATCAATGCCATCTGTTCATAATTGCCTTTTGGATCTGCTGAGTAGGACGAAAGGAATGGAAATATAATTGCAACTAAGTCTTCCAACACAATGCACTTGCACGGTCTTGATTTTTGCTGTAAATCAGTTGTTATTGTTATCAGCTTTGTTTTTTACTGAACACAAAGCACACAATATAAAACTTTTACACTTATACAGTACACCCACGGGACACTTTATAAGGTACAACTTACTAGCACTGGGTTGGACCCTCTTTGGCCTTCAGAATTACTTTAATCTGTGGCATAGATACTCAGAGATTTTGGTCCATATTGACATGATAGCATCACGCAGTTGCTGCAGAATTGTCAGCTGCTCATCCATCATGCAAATCTCCCATTCCACCACATCCCAAAGGTGCTCTATTGGATTAATTTAAGTATAGTAAACTCATTGTCATGTTAAGAAACCAGTCGGAGATGATTCACGCTTTATGACATGACACGTTATCCTGTTGGAAGTAGCCATCAGATTATGGGTACACTTTGTTCATAAACGGATGGACATGGTCAGCAACAATACTCAGGTAGTCTGTGGTGTAGCTCAATTAGTACTAATGGGGGCAAAGTGTGCCAAGAAAAAATCCGCCACACCATTACACCACCATCACCAGCCTGAACTGTTGATTCAAGGTAGGATGGATCCATGCTTTCATTTTGTTGACCCCAAATTCCGACCCAAGCAAATATCATCAGATCAGACCAGTTTTTGCAATCTTCTATTGTCCAATTTTGGTGAGCCTGTGTGAATTGTAGCCTCAATTTCCTGTTCTTATAGCTTACAGGAGTGACACTCAATGTGGTCTTCTGCTGCTGTAGCCCATCTGCCTCAAGGTTGGATATGTTGTGCTTTCAGAGATGCTCTTTTGCATACCTCAGTTATAACGAGTGGTTATTTGAGCTACTGTTGCTTTTCTTTCAGCTGAAACCAGTCTAGCCATTCTCCACTGACCTCTGGCATCAACAAGGCATTTGTGCCCACAGAACTGCCGCTCACTGGATATTTTCTCTTTTTCAGATCGTTCTCTGTAAAACCTACAGATGGTTGTACATGAAAATCCCAGTAGATCAGTAGTTTCTGAAATACTCAGACCAGCCTGTCTGGCACCAATAACCATGCCACGTTCAAAGCCACTAAAATTACCTTTCTTTCTCATTCTGATGCTCTGTTGCAACTGCAGCAGATCGTCTTGATCATGTCTACATGCCAAAAGGCAATAAGCTGCTGCCATGTAATTGGCAAATTCGAAATTTGTGTTAACAAGCAGTTTGACAGTACCTAATAAAGTGGCCAGTTAGAGTACAATATAAAAAACATACAAATAAACAACAGCATAATAACAAATAAAGCTTACGGAAATAGGAACAAAAACAGCGTTTCCAAAATGTAGTTTTAAACTTTTTAGTAAACAGAAATATGTACCCATATAAGACATAGTATTTTTAAAAGTATAATATTATTAATAAGAGATACTATAAATAAATTGATTTCTTAAGAGTATATGCTTTCCATAAAATTAACCAATATATTATTATTATTATTAAAATATTTAATATAAATATTCCAAATGTATGAAATACATAGTTATAACAAAAAGTAGAAATAAATATAAATAAATTTGTTTAAAATTTTAAAATAAATCTATTTGTTTGTTTTTCACTTTATAAAAAATGCAGTTGCCTGATTGAAATTAGCATCTTTCATCTGTCAAAAAAAAAAAAAAAAAGTTTTCAAGATTTTTTAAAAGTAAATTTGAAACCTTGTGAAAATTGTGAAACAAAATAGTCTGAATAAATAGCCTTTGCGAGTAAAAGTGGCAGTGTGTCGCTTCATGTTTGTTATTCCAAGGCTTTTATTCTGATCAGTTGAAAAGCAGATAACATGATGCTCACCATCAGTCTTCTGCTGCTCAGAACGGCTTTTCTCTTCCACCTGCAGTACGAGAAACAAAAGTGATTCAGAAATGGCTTAATGCACTTTTTATTCCTTTTAATCAACTGTGCCAGTCATTCCTGCGTCTTGGGCTGCTGAATATTACTAAAAGTTTACAAAATCACGGCAGTATTACAACATGCAAAAATCTAATCTCAAACTGATGCGTTATTTATATCTTTAAAGGAAACGTTACAACTAGTATTGACTGCCTGCACTTAAAACTCATTTTAAAACCCGAAGACATGTTTGTGGCCTCAATAAGCAGCTGAAATTGTATCACTATTGTACAAAGGTATTGAACGCTGCGAGCCACAGCGCTGAGAGTGGAATGTTTTTCAATGTGAAATATTGATTGCCCAGAGTAGGAAAACGCTTGGATTTGTTTTGTTTTTTTTTCGTTTGTTTAGTGTTTGGTCAAAGCAGACTGTTTTTATTAAAGCATATTACTGTGTTCTCAGATCAACCTGAAGCATGTGGTGAGATGACAAATGCATTTAAATTCAGTCCACAAACAGGTTGTGGTTCCCTGCTGATGCATCACGCTGAAGGCTGAGCATGATCCAGAGACACAGACCACTGGAACAGTCCTCGGATTTGTGCTGGAACGCCGGATTCTGTGATTAGAGGAGCGCATGCTGGAAAACTGATGCTCAATCTGCACCACACCGATCTGTTGCTGAATTTAGATTTTTCTGGGATACTTCTAGTCCAAACCCAAAGAACAGTTTGTCTGCTTTCAGAAAAATTATGCATTTCGACTCAAACAAAAGCTTTGTTTGTAAGTATAAGCAGAGGAGGATATTTAATTATAACCATGACTATATTAGCACCCACTCAAGCGCACGATATTATTCTGTTTAAGTGTGTGCTGCAGTCTGGTCATCTGCTGCTTTAAATGCTTGACCTCTATGAAATCAGAATGGTGGGGGAGGGGATATAGAGTTTATCTAACTGCTATTTAGTCTATATTTTATAAGTGCGATCTAATTTTGAATGATTTTTATTATTCATTCTGAATCATTTATTCTGGAATCGCACTACATCTGAATTGTAGAACAATTACTACAGTGCATTGTGGAACGGGTGGTGGTCGAAGGTTAGGACCAAGACAACCTGATCGTCCGGCACAGAAACTGGCTCTTGGGACATGGAATGTCACCTAACTAGAAGGGAAGGAGCTTGAGCTTGTTTGGGAGGTAGAACTGTATAGAATAGAAATAGTTGGGCTCAGCTCCATGCACAGCTGGGGCTCTGGAACTCTACTTCTTGTGAAAGGCTGGACTTTGTTCTACTCTGGAGTTGACCACGGTGAGAGGTGGCTGGTTGGTGTGGGCTTGCTTAGATCTCCCCAACTTAGCCACCATGTGTTGGAGTTTTCCCTGGTGTAAGAGAGGGTTGCCTCTTTGCGCCTTCGGGTCTGGGATAGATCTCTCACTGTGGTTTGTGCCTACAGGCCAAACACCAGTGCAGAAAACCCACCCTCCTTGGAGTCCTTGGGAGGGCTGCTGAAAGGTGCTCAGACTGAGGACTACATTGTTCTACTTCAATGCCCACGTGGGTAAGGAAAGTGATACCTGGAGAGGTGTGATTGGGAGGAACGGCCTCTCTGATCTGAATCCGAGAGGTGTTCTGTTATTGGACTTGGACTTGAGCATAAGGGTGTCCATCAGTGTGCATGGCACCAGGACACCCCATGGTGGAGGTTAATGATAGACTTTGTGGTTGTATCATCTGATCTCCGACCGTATGTCTTGGATACTAAGATAACAAGTGGGGCAGAGCTGTCAACTGATTTCTCACCTGCTGGTGAGTTGGATTCACTGGCAGGGGGGAAAACTGGACAGACCTAGGAGGCCCAAACGTATTGTGAGGGTCCTCTGGGAACGTTCCAGGCAGGTCCCACCGGGAGAAGGACCAAGGACACGCTGGAGGGACTTTGCCTCTCAGCTGGCCTGGGAATGCCTCAGGATCCCCCCAGAAGAGCTGGAGGAAGTGTCTGGGGAGAGGGAAGTCTGGAGTTCTCTCCTAAGACAACCCGGCCCCGGATAAGCAAATGAAAATGACATGACATCTGACTATATCAGTACAGGTTCCTTAAGTCGTTACACATACGTTAAAGGAGCTGTATGTAAGTTTTTGACCATTCTAAAGCATAAAAATAACATAATATGTTTGCAGATATTTAAGAAACATGTGAACATTCTGGTTGATCTGAAAAACAATGCTGAAGTCAGATATTCCGCTTTGAAAATGTGTGTTACATGCCAGAATGCTGTGTTTGTTTTGGTTCTTTTAACCCGCCCACTACCACTTTATTTCAGCCAATTTTATTTCAGCACTACGAGTTTCATTAATTCATTCAGTCATAAAGTCTCTAAAAGCATGCGTCTGTGACCAAAATGCGACCTCCGGTGGACAGTAGCACACTCCGAAATGAGGCGCAGATTCAGAGTTCCACATAAGGTGGTTATTGATTAGCAAATCATATAACTATTACGAGTGTAAACATTAGGTTAGCAGGTTACATTGTAACCCTGTGTCCTAACAACGCTAGGTGAGGAGATTTGCAGAAGATGAACAATCTTGAAGAAGAGGAGATGAACAATCTGGCTGTTTGCACCAGACGAAACACAACAGAAATTTAAACACAGCCATTCAGAAGCACAGAACAGTGCACTCACTGCACACCAACGAAATGGTAAGGTTTATAATCTAATTAATATATATTAAACCTCAATTTACATTGACAGTTTACATACTAAGCCTTTAACATACAGTGCTTATAGAAAACCATCATAATCCTTTACAATTATTACTTTATTTATCATACAGCTTGAAACTGCATTACAAATAACTGTTCCATCCTTTGAAAAGTTTTTGTACTCTTCTCTTAACCTGTGCCTTCCTACAACTTTATCCTGAAGGTCTTTTGAAAGCAGGGTGTAATGTGAATAAAGGTATAGATTGTCAGAGGATATGATGATTTATTATAGGCACTGTATGTAGAGTATCAAACTATTCAGCTTGGTAACACAAAGCACCAGTTACAGACAAACAAATAAATAGGGATGCGCTGATTTAAAAAAAAAAAAAAAAAAAAACATTATTGGCTGAACAAGGCATTTTCACTTTCAGCCGAGAAAAAAAGCTGAAAATAAAAAGGCAAATAAAATGGCATTTTTCGAAACATTACTTGGTGTCGTTCATGCTTGCTGCTTTCACTCTCACTCTAGCCGTCAGTGCATGGACGTGAAAAATCTTATAGACTGGACGTGAAAAATTTTGCACAACAAAACCCATTCATTTCAATGGCTTGCACTCCACAAAGGAGGTTAGTTGCTGCACTGACCAAATCGCAAGAACGGCAGAGCGTACTATCATAACTTGGCAATGCCTTGTGGTTCAAAATAACTCAATATTCGCTATGTAGATAATCCACTCATGTACATGTATACTTATCTATGCATGAATAGCGCACGCTCACCAGAAGAGCAAAGTCGGCTCAAAGAATGAATAATGCGTGGACAGGACATTAGAGTCCGCATGTCCACCAAAGCACTGAAAATGCAGAGCTCTTCTAAAAACGCTCAGCTGTGAGTGAATTTGCAACTGTCAGAGCATTTTAAAAATAAGACAACAACAGAACAACTAGGGCTGGGTGATTAATCGAAAAGCAAAACGAAATCGACATTTAGAACCTATAATCAAAGTAATTTTTCCAGGTCAGATTTTTCAATTACTTTCCCTACCACATGTTGGAGTCACGTGATCCTTCTCTGCTAAGGCTGATTTATACTTATACGTTGAACGCACAGGTATGGTCCGGCACAGCCTTCGCTCTGTCGCATACCCGCGCACCTCATAAAATAACGGAACTACAAGTTGCACGTTTGCACTACATTTGCGATGATTGGAAGCTGCGACAGAGTTGCCTTGAGAAATATTTTGTATTACAATAAAATTATTATTTATATGAAAATATTTGCTGACAGATGATGCAAGAAATGCAGCGTTTAAAATAATATGTACAGGATATGCAAGAGTTGTTTTATTTGGAAGAGATACGGCTTATTTTCTACTTTTGAAAGCACTGAAAAAAATATATTTTGTTTCCAAAAGAGCAAGCTATTTGTTTTTACTTTTTTATAAGAAAAAAAGAGACTGTTGGTTTTATGCAATCTGTGTTTTAATTTCGGTTGTTCAACGTTGATGTTCAATGAATAATCATAGATAGTAGACATTGTGTGTTTCCTTTAATTATTTTAAAATCAACTAATGCACCCTTCATTCAAAAATCTCGAACTTGTAATATGTGAGCACATTTACTGTACAAATCCTGTCAGTGAACTGTGAGGGCAAAAATAAAGAATTAAAATAATCGTTCATTGATCGTAATCGAATTAAAATGTTTAATTATTAATGATTTTGATTTTAGGCCAAATCACCCAGCCCTAAGAACAACAATGAAAATATCCCCTAAATCAGTGTTTCTCAACCACGGTACAAGCGGGACACCAACACTGCATGTTTTGGATGTCTCCTTTGTCTGTCATGCCTATTACAGGTCTTTCAATCTAATGAGCTGATGATCATAAAGGAGACATGACATGAGGTACCTATGCACTACTCTACGCCATTTTGTAGTATAAACAGTGTACAGTAAGTAGTGAGTTCACACTGAAAACTCTAAAACAATTGAGTACTCTGGATGATGCTCTTATTCATCCGGTAAAATGTGTGGAAAGATGGGCACTTCATGCACTCAATGTTGGTCATGTAGCGGAAGGAGCGAAGCTTTCGGGCACTAATGTTGGATTACTTTATTTATTTTAGATTGTGAAAGCAAAATTCTCCTATAAGAGTGATTATAGTGCCTTCGGATGGTGAATACGGCTGTACTCATGGCAGGTATTATTTGGTAGTTTGGTCATTTATTTGACCGTCAAACATCATCAGGGAAACAGTTTGAATTTCCAAGTAAAAAATACTGTTTAATTTGGGATGACACTACACTCAAATATTATGCTGTTGAATGTGTAAGTGCATAAGTACATAGTGCATAGTGTACCATTTGAGAACATGGTTGAGAAACACTGCCCTAAATAATATGCTAGTTCTGGCTGTGTACAATAGCGCACTTGTGCTGGTAAACTGACACCTCTCACTCATTCCCTCAGAATTAAGTTTTTTGTTCTATGAAATGTGGTTATTTTATTGGCTTGTTTTTAGTTTTATTATAATTTGACAAATTTTTTGAGATGTTGACAGTCATTTATGTGTCCCACGCTGCTTTAAACACTATTAGGACACATATTTCACTAAAAAAGTGAAAACTGGTTGTTTTTGCGTTATTTTGTGCAAATTCGTTCTTTTTTGAAGTTGCGTCATGGCGATTAGATCTTTGCGTGTAATTCAGCGTGGAGAGTGGATGTCTATGAATGTGCAGCATTAATTCATTAGAAAGACCAATTAGCGCGCTCTATTGTAAATGAGGTTTTGTTTTCATTTCCTGCTATTTTATTTACGCACAAAATATTTATGACAGGGATTTTATTCCATCGTATGGAAGCGCTAAGTGAGTCACTGAGATATTCTGCGCTCGCTGCCTGTGACGTTACTTACATTATGCTAGCTTGTTATCCTCGGCCTGTTCTTAATTTTGATTCTGTAAAGTCCAAGAAACACAGCGAAAATGGACCTCATTGAGTCTCAACCTTTATTAAAGGTCTTGATGGACATTTCTCAAAGAGGGAATAACAAACATCTTACCTGAGACTGTGTGTGGGAGCTCGAGTGCCCAGCAAGCACACCGTTGTGATCAATGACTCTCGCTTGTTTATTAATGCCTGTTACAGCTGTGATGTAATTTTGACTGATTTTGATTCATAATCGTAATCAGGGCTTCATGTCCGTGGTGAAACTGTATTTCGTGTTTGTAAAGTACACCCATCGTAAATTTATAAGTCATATACAAACAGACAAAGAAAATGTCGTATCTGAGAATCGCAGATTTTGGAATTGTACCCTCATAAAATTACGAGTATGTTCTGTTTTCCTTTAGGATTTTTTGATTACAGATGCGTGAATTTTATATACGCACAAAATATTTATGACTGATCTTATTCCATACTTTTCGAATCTGGAAATGGTGAAATCCAGATTTGCCATTCATCTCCTTTTAAAAAAGATGCAGCTTCAGTTGGTGTTGATTGTGCTATTTACAGATTTGGTAAGTGATCTTTGTTTGTTTATTTAGATGGCAAAGTTAGTTCGTATTGTCAACAGTACTCTTTCAGTTTTTAAAGACATACCTTAGTCAAAACGATTTAGTAAATAAGTTAGTTTACCAAGTACTTTAAAATCACTACAATATCATGGACAAAGATTCGCTGTAAATGCGGCTCTCCGAGTGTAAAGATGTAAACACCTTAATCAAACTATTATTGTTGTGTAGGATTTTCACTGCATTTTGTGACAGAATAGTCTATACACACTCGTCTTTCTGATGCTACCTTCCGAGTGCATCTAAGTTACCGAGAAATGCAGAAGTTTTTTTTTTCTCTCATTCCCACTCTTCCTGCAGATCTTCGCATCCAATATCTCATTTGTGATGGGGGGGCATGCATGAAATGTTCCAGATTGAAAGTAAAAGTGCCAAACTGCAGTTACAGTCTACAAATTAATAATTTGGTAAATAATTTGATCACTGATGTCCATGTAAACGCAGTTACTGTCTTTCTCCCCTACGTCTGTGTGTTTGTTTTGCCTCTGTGAAAATCAGCGCGTGCCCAAATGACAACTCCCATTTTTAAGCAAAACCTTCCCTCTTTCCCTCCCCCGACACTCCCACCTAAACAGAGCTGGACATGCCCACTTTCCTGCCTTTTTTCAAACTGGATGTGTGAAAACACCCCAAGACAGGCGGGTTTTGTGGCCCTTTAAACTATTAAAATACAAAAAATTTTTACTATTATAAAATGTACTTAATTTTTAAATAAAATAATGATTACAAAGGGGCGACGCAGAGGCGCAGTAGGTAGTGCTGTCGCCTCACAGCAAGAAGGTCGCTGGGTCGATGGTTCGAGCCTCGGCTGGGTCAGTTAGCGTTTCTCTGTGGAGTTTGCATGTTCTCCCTGCATTCGCGTGGGTTTCCTCTGGGTGCTCCGGTTTTCCCCCACAGTCCAAAGACATGGTACAGGTGAATTAGGTAGGCTAAATTGTCCGTCGTGGATGAGTGTGTGTGGATATTTCCCAGAGATGGGTTGTAGCTGGAAGGGCATCCGCGGTGCTGGATAAGTTGGCGGTTTATTCCACTGTGGCGACCCCAGATTAATAAAGGGACTAAGCCGAAAAGAAAATTAATTAATGATTACAAGGCATATTGGTTTCAGTTTTCGCTCAAGTTCATTCAGAATTTCTGGTTTCTGCCTATTTTTTATTTTTATTTTGGTGCATCCCTAAAAATAAATATATCGATAAATCAACATAAAAACAATTTTGAAATGACCTTTCGTCCGCCACAGTCAGGACAGATGATGGGTTGTAAGCGTGTTGTGGTGGGACCTTCAGGTGGCACTGCGTCTACTCCACAAGAGTTCAATCTCCTCAGGACAGTCTGTCTTATGACGTTGTCAGCAGGGACACTCTCCGCTCCACATTCAGACCCTCTGTCCTGAACCACACCAGTGGAACACTGCTCCTGATTGTGTTGTAGGAACCTGCGAGGGACATCGTAATGCTGCAGAGGTGAACTTGTGTATACGTTGGCCTGTGTTTGATCAGCCTCTCGGAGAGAACACACACATGGGTTGTCCTCAGGAATCTGGGGAACTGTCCTTACTGGAGTGTTTATAATAGAGACTGAATTGGGGTTTTGAGGAAGGCTTATTAAGGATCCAAACTCGTCAGTCTCTCCATGGCCAATATCCATGCTCCCAGTGTAAGAGGAGAAGCTTCCCGAATATGAGGAGTGGCTTCCGGTGGCGATGCCGCTGTCTGTGGAGCTCTGCCGTCCCGCCTCCTGAAGGCCCCTAGGGTGAGGGGGTTTGGACGGGGGGCGAAGTCCACCCATCATAACTCCATATATGCGCTCGTCACTGGACGTACTGACTGAACAGGCTGTGCTTTTACATCCTGTAACCAATAAATGAGATGATGATGATGATGATGGTGGTGGCGGTGGTGGTTCGACAGGGGTGGGGTGTCTGACTGGCTCCGGCCAGATCGCCAGGCGGCTGCCCAAGCTGTTATCAGAATGGCTGGCCTCAGAGGACGAGCTGGAGATACTTCGATCATCTCCTGCCAAAGAGGCGCCATAACTGAAGGTGGAGGCTGAGGAGTTATGACAGAGAGACAGAGAGAGGTTAACAAATCACTGCTTGGAGTCTTTTGTCAGTACTGTCTGTGCATTTCTAAAATGTATAACTGATAATGAATCAAGTTATAGCGATGTTCAGTTAGTAATTGGTGGAGCAAAAAGAAGAATTTTAGAAGAATCTTTATTTGGCTCTGTTAAAGACATATGATGAGAAGAACAAACTAAACTTAAATAATAAAATTTTTATTTATTTAATTTTATTTATTTTTAGAAATCTGATTGATCAATTGTTGCATACTCACTCCACTGAAGACATTTATTAGCCAACATATTTAGCTTTTGTTTGTTAAGCCCAAAGATTTGTTTCAAAGCTATTTCTTAAGTCACCAAATTAATAAATGAACAATAATAATGAAGTGTGGTCAAAAAACGGAGGTACATCAACGTCCTATTATCCCATACGGCGGTGTATAAGTCTAAAAATCTGACAGGTAGACAAACGTTTCAATTAAAGCAGATAAAAACATGCGTATAATAAATAATACTTATAAAAATAATAATAACTTTATACAAATGCAAACTGTCATAAATAAACTGAAAAAAGCACCCTGAAGTGAAGAAGGCATGGAGGTAGTGTTTTTTTTTGTTTTTTTTTGGTAGAAATGTATGTGTGTTGCTGTACATCCTGTGTATATTAAGCAATGTGTAATCGTTTGGAGCAGCACAGGCATAATTAACGATCTCTGCGCAGGACTTTAGACCTGCTTTCAGTTGGTCAATAACACGGTCTATTTCAGTTCTTCAAAATAGCAACGCGCCAACAATGAGCCTTAACACACTTCCTTTAAAGAACAACACGCCCATGAGTGACGCAAATGGTTTTGCTATTTAAACAACGTGGCTATTTCACAACGTGAAAATTAGGGTTGCGCTTGGCAACAAATCGCGTCAAACACGTGTTGCATCTTATTGCGTCCGGTCTATGATGATAGGGCGCATTGTCTTTGCAGAGTATTTTACTGCCCTATGAACAAAAACTTTTGAAAGTCTGATGATTGTGTCCAGGCTTTCATGCTTTTCTTTTTACTGTGCTCTCTTTCTGTCGATTTTTAACTTGCTTGTACATATCCCCAATATAAATTCAGTTTTATTTATTACTGCTGACAAAAAAAAATCAATTCCTTCGGAATAAATTTCTGGGATTTGACTGTAAATTATTATCCCTTAAACTGACATAAATAACATTAAATTTCAATCCGCTTGTTAAGTGGTGACGTGTTTTTGACACATGTAATACTGTTTCCGGGTCCAAGCCGCCATTCACTTGAGTGGAGAAATCACTTTTTTATTCATATTGCACATTAAAGTTAATTTTATATAAAGTCATAGTGTACACAACACTCTCTGGGCTTGCTGCATGACAAATACCAAATTTTTAACAATTTATAAAACAATGAATTACTTTCTGGCCATCGGATATTAGGCATGGACATATATTTTGCGATCGTGACTTTAGAAAGTATTAAATCGCTTTGTAAACGTTTATTATTACCATTTCATAAATCTCCCCATAAAGTTGAATAGAGCGTTTGAACCCGGAAGCCGCTCTGCGTGACGTCACACTTAACAAGCGGATAACAAAAAATGACATCAATTTCCATCTAGGATTGAATGACTTTATATGATGGCTTTTATAATCCTTTTATTGTGCTTTGTATAGTCCTTTGGGATCTTGACAAAGACTAAGAACAGTTTTTAAATGCAAATGAACAACGTAATGATTATTCAAAACATTTGGATGAAAGAAATGACATTAAGAAGAGAAAATTATAACAGAATTTGCATTTACAACTGCATTTTCACTGTTTGAAATGAGTACATTGCTTTAGGTGTATATTTAGTTAATGATTTTTGAATTACCTGCACTGCTGTGGTGACTACAAATGGACAGCATGCTGAGTCTTTTCTCCAGCTCACTAGCCTCCTGGCTAATCCGGTCTTCTATAGACGACGGGTTAGCATTGGGGTCTATGGAAACAGAATTTCATTACATTTGAATTAAACCAATACAGTGAGTGTTCATCATTCATACTGTACACACGTGTGCCAACATAAATCCTTACGGTCACACAGAAAGCACCAGACAGCACTGATTTGTCTCTGAGCATTAAGTCATGTACGATCCATCACTGCTGTATCACTGTCTCTGCTGGTAGAATTACCGGAGCCACTAGGCACATTTATCAATTTCCACTGGAACATCACAGACACAGCCTCACAGCAATAATCTCTCGCATAATGTGGATCCAGACTCACACACTAGACGCTTTGAGACCTCCTTTTGAATTTGCCAGTAGGTTTGGTAATCATTCTCTCACACAATAGAATAAATCAGGACACCAAACACAAAACGCTCAAATTAAACAATAAGTCAGTCAGGGGAGAACAAGTAAATAAAAGCCTCTGGAAAACTGGAACAGAATGTATGATAGAAAAGTTGTTATGGAGGCATTCCTACTTTGCACGGTTTAGCTGTACTGTAGATATTTTTGGCATCTAATTAGCATGGAAAGTCAATTTCAAGCTGGTCTAAAGTAGCGCAAAAAGCTTTCAAGCAATGCCAGTGGCAACAAATAGACTGAAAAATCAATACCACACAAGCAAAAACAAACTGCATGTTGTTTTTGTGCTGCAACCCTTTAAATAAATAAAGTGTGTAGCTTTTGTGTTAAAATACTTCATATTATATGTATGTGTAAATCATTAAATGTTCAGTAACATACACTCACCAGCCACTTTATTAGGTACACCTTACTGGTACCGGGTTGAACCATTTTTGCCTTCAGAACTGCCCTTAATCCTTCATGGCATAGATTCAACAAGATACTGGAAAGATTACACGATGCTCAGTTGGTACTAATGGGCCCAAAGTGTGCCAAAAAATATCCCCCACATCATCACACCCCCACCACCAGCCTGAACCGTTGATACAAGACAGAATGGATCCATGATTTCATGTTGTTGATGCTAAATTCTGACCCTACCATCCGAATGTCTCAGCAGAAATCGAGTCTCATCAGACCAGTTTTTCCAATCTTCTATTGTCCAATTTTGGTGAGCCTGTGCGAATTGTAGCCTAGCTTCTTGTTTTTAGCTGACAGGAGTGGCACCAGGTGTGGTCTTCTGCTACTGTAGCCCATCCACCTCAAGGTTGGATGTGTTGTGTGTGCAGAGATGCTCTTCTACGTAGCTCAGTGGTAACGAGTGGTTACTTGAGTTACTGTTGCCTTTCTTTCAGCTGGAACCAGTCTGGCCATTCTCATCTGACATCAACAAGGCAATTGCGCCCACAGAGCTGCCGCTCACTAGATATTTTCTCTTTTTCAGACCATTCTCTGTAAACTCTAGAAATTGTTGTGCGTGAAAAAAAACAACCATGCCATGTTCAAAGCCACATCAATCCCCTTTCCTCCCCATTCTGATGCTCGGTTTGAACTGCAGCAGACTGTGTCCATGACCATGTCTCCATGCCTAAATGCATTGAATTGCTGCCATGTGATTGGCTGATTAGAAATTTGCGTTAACGAGCAGTTGGACAGGTGTACCTAATAAAGTGGCCAGTGAATGTACTTTTTTTTTTTTGCTTGCACAGATAAAAAACAGTGCTGTATACAAATATTAATCACATTATTTAAAGGATTTCATTCTCCTACTTTTTTCTGCTTTTTTTTATTCTGCAGACTATATAAAAACAAATTGACTGATTGACAGAAGCTGATTTTGCAATCAGTGCCCTGCACATCTTATTTATCACTGGCATTATGAACTCATGCTCAACCTTTATTGAATGTCAAAGGTTAAAATACATCAAGTGCATGTAATTAATGACATTTAATGACAGCTAAAACAACTGTCCTGACAGCTTAGCATGAAGTAAGACAGACGAGAACTTAATGTAACGTAACATCGCATGAATCAGAGAATTCAGTGACTGTGTTGTCATAAATACTAAAGTAAACTGATTTTGATTTATGCATTTAGACTTGCAGAAGGCAATCACTGACAATGGTGGAATTTGAGGGCCAAGCATTACTGGAAAACATTTTTCGCCATGATTGCAAGCAATTTCCATTATCAAAAATGCTCAAAATGATTATGTTCGTTGTTGGTCCACAGAAAAATATCTTTATTAAAATATCTTTTAAGGCACAGAAACATGATTCTCCCTCGGACTCTTTTCCTTGTCTGAGAATTTCTGTTACAATAACAAACTTTAAATGTTGCAGTTTTGAGTTTATATATTTTTTATCTGAAATTCTGTATTTACATTATATGGTCTCAGATTTATGACTTTATTTCTTGCAATTGTGTTTTAGCAGTTCCACAATTCTGGCTTTATTTTATGCAGTTCTGACATTGTCTAACAATTAAGGGTGCACAAAAATTTTGACTGTGAAAAAGGTTTAGCTTAATGTACAGTAAATGGTCTCGAATAAATCTGATAGCTCTATTCTATGGTTTATAGAGCATACTGATGACTTTGATGAATGATAATGATACATTTATTCTATTACATTTAATAACACTGTATATGTTATATTGTGTTACTGTCAATAAAAGTGGTTAATTAATTGGATTAAATTTTTTTGAATCTGCAAAAAGTAATTAAATTAAATGTAAAATTTTCCTAAACATCTTTATATTATTTAATAATAAAATTATTATAAAACTTTTGGTTTTGGTATTCGACCATGCACATAAAAAAATTCCTGTTTTGGACCAGAATTTTAATTTCTGTAAATTCCTACTTAAAATATTGAGTTCTCTCAGAATTGCAAGCTAAAAATTGTGAGATACTAACATAAAACTAACAATTCTGTGGAAAATAATCTAAATTGAGATAAAATGAAACTATTAGATGTTAACATTATTTACATTCTATAGACACTCAACATAACAGACAGACAAGGCAAACGTCTCAGACATGAGTGTAGGTGTGCGTGTGTGAGAGAGAGAGCAGGTATCTGTGTGTGCGTTTTTGAGGCTGTCAGGGATTAACCGGTTAACTAGTGGTCTTGACTCATGTAATGCCCTGAGTGAGATTAAACAATAGCCCATTCTCAACCCCAATTCATTAATTTTCTTTTCGGCTCAGTCCCTTTATTAATGTCGCTATAGCGGAATGAACCGCAAACTTATCCGGCATATGTTTTATGCAGCGAATGCCCTTCCAGCCGCAACCCATCACTGGGAAACACCAATACACTGATTCACACACATACACTATGGACAATTTAGCTCACCCAATTGCTGTGAGGCAAGAGCATTACCCACTGCACCACCGCGTTGCCTACCCCAATTATAGTTGTACTAATTACACATATTGCCCTTATATTACAATAAAATAAATGACAGACAGACAGACAGACAGACAGACAGACGGATAGACAGATAGATAGATAGATAGATAGATAGATAGATAGATAGATAGATAGATAGATAGATAGATAGATAGATAGATAGATAGATAGATAGATAGATAGATAGATAGATAGATAGATAGATAGATAGATAGATAGATAGATAGAAAATAAATATAAATAAATAATAAATATTGCACTGGAAGGCTAATAATTTTGCCCTCATCTGCACAAACATACATACATTTTGAAAATCATAATTCAAGCCTCACAATATCAATGTAATGAAGGAAAATAAATAGCATCCATCAAAAATACGTACTCAGAGCATAAATCACCCCTGTAAATGGGTCTATGTAAATGGGTAGTAATTTAGCATACACATTTTTTTCCCCAAGCAACATTACATTTATTAGAAAAAAAGGCCTCGGAGCAGCTTCTGCATAACATTGCTGTTCCATTGATCAATCTTGGGGTTTGAACTATCCTACAAGCTTTGATTATGATTCACATGAACACCTTCAGGCCACACATCCTACTTTTATGTTACTGACCGCGTGTCCGCTCTCTGCAGGTTTCTATTCTCACTGCTTTTGCCACTGTGCAACCTTTCAGCCAGACCTGATCGTTTTATCTCAATATCACTGGCTCAGCAGCTCAATGCAACGATTCTCTGTGTGTCATTGTGGCAGTTTGATCTATAAAATAATATCTCATACTCATTACGGTTTAATATACTATTATGCTTACATGCTAAATCTATCTTGGATCGATCAATAAACTAAATGTGAATCTTGCATTGATTTTTAGGACAATAATTCAGGATTCGGGAAGTCTTGTTAGGTTCCATTAAAATGATAAGTACCACATGAATATTATTATGCTCTGTCAAGATGGAGCCACTGAATGCATGAATTTAAAAAGTGATCGCCATTACAAAGAAAGACTCATTAGAGTTAATTAAACCTAACGAACTCCAGCACCCTGCTACTGCTAGATGTAGAAATCTGCTAGTAATAAAAAAGAACTCAATTTTAACCACTCATAATGGTGACACAAACCATTTCACTAATATTACATTTTGCACTAGTTTGAATAAAAAGTAAATCTGCTTAAAATAAATTACTTATAAATGCAGTTTCAGAATAATTGTTAAGTCTATGTTTTGTTAATAGCTCCAAAATAAACAAAGTAATCAATTGCCAATTTTAGCTTGATTTAATTACCTCTTTAAATCGTTAATTTATTTTCCTTTGTCTTAGTCCCTTATATATCAGGGCTTGCCACAGCGGAATGAACCACCAACTGTTCTGGCATACGTTTTTTACGCAGCGGATGCCCTTCTTACGGTGGCCGAGAGAGCTTAATGTGCTCCAATTTAAGATAAGACTTGCAATTACAAAAAACTAAATTGGATAGAAAAAATGCAGCACATTTCATTAATTGTTTGCATTGAGAAAATACTGTGTTTTTGTAAATTCTTTGCTTTGTGAGAAAATGCAGTGCGCTTTCATAAATTGTTTGCGTTGTGAGAAAATGCAGCGGGTTCTCATAAATTGTTTGCGTTGTGAGAAAATGCAGCGTGTTTTCGTAAAATTGTTTGCATTGAGAAAATGTGTTTTCGTAAATTGTTTGCATAG